TATATATATATATAGCCCACATCCATTTTCTCAAGTGGGTAAATTATTTGTCGATGATACCTAGGGAGTATTAACATGGGGCAACAAGGTACCAAAGCTTCTTTAATTCTATTCGAAATTGGTGTAAGGTTGCAATAGCTTGTCGAGATAGTTTTGTAAAGATGATAGTGTATAACTGTACATGGGTGAAGATATCAGTGGCTTAGGGTTGTGTCTCTTAAGTCTCACCCTTTTCTGATGTGTATGTCTCTCAATTCAGCTTCAAAGAGATTGATAGAACCCACACCTCATTCTTCTTGATGAACTAGTTGTAAGTCCAAAAAAAATACGTAAGAGCAGGTTCCCCATTTTTGTAACATCCCGATGATAAGGTACTTCAAATTTCAACCCTATAATTTTATTATGTTGCATTGTGGTCCCTAAGTTCAAGAAAATGTGCAAAGGAGCCCTAATGGCATTGTTGTAATTATGGCCTTTGGAGTACGCCATGCGTACATGGTGTACGCTAAGCATACTAGGGTGTGCCCTACTACGCTGGGCGTACTTGCCAAATAAGGAAACCCTAATTTTTAGGGTGTGACTCGTATTTAAGCACTCTTATGGCCTCATTTCACCCACCATAACTGCCTTCATCCCTCTCATACATTTGTGCAACCCTAGTTTCACCTTGAGGAGCCTTTTCAAGCTTAGAAGTGTGTTTTTGGTGCCTAAGAAGAAGGAAGGAAGTCGAGCTCATCTTGAAGGAGTGGATCACTTGGATCTGGGATTTCTACTTTATTTGCAACCATTCTAAGGTAAAAAGCTTGCAACTTTATTCCTCTAGCATATAGATCTAGTTTTGGATGTATTTATGGAGCTTTTTGGTCCTAAAATGTAAGATCTTGAATATGGCATGTTCTTGACCTTTGAGTTGTCCTTCCAGACCCTAGGAGGGGTCTTAAGTCATAAAAATGGGTTCCAAATGGTTAGTTTTGTTCATGCATCATTTAGAAGCTCTTAATGGAATAAGACCTTGTGTTAAGCACTTATTGGGCATGTTAGGTCATAAAGTTGGAGACTTTATGACTCCTAAGAGTATTTTAGCCATGGATCTGAAGTTTGGACGTAAGAGCTTAAGCCATTAAGCTCTTAATGGAATTTTTAGACTTGCGAGGGTACGCCCCGCGTACTCGGAATACGCCCTGCGTACGAGGTCAACCACCCCAACGGTGGTCAACATGTGAGGCTGCGTGTACGCCCAGCGTACCTCCGGAGTACGCCCTGCGTACGCACCCTGAGTTGACTCGGTCGAGCTGACTCGGTTGGGTTGACTCGGCTGGGTTGACTTAGTTGACCTAGTTGGTTTGACCAGTTGACTTTGACCAAGTTTCACCTTGAGGGTATTTTGGGATTTTGATGGAAATTGGTCATTTGGTGGGAATAGGTGTCGGCCAGAGAGCTGAGATTCGGAGTCGAGACTGATGGGTTTTGAGCACTCTAACAACCTTATGGTGCACATACAACCCTAGATGCTTTGGATCTATGTTTTCTCTAATTATACATGCAATTTGATTTTCCAAAGCATTTATCCTAACTAGCATACATTTGAACAAAATAACTAGTTAGATAATTTACCTCTTAATAGGACTTGTAGTTCTTGGCCTTCAAAAGCTTTAGCACCTCAAGTGTGATGCCTCTAATGTGTCACGGACACCAAGTGCAAAAGGAGGCTTGAGAGAATAAGTTGCTTAGCTCAAAATCAATATCAAATTCTAAGAATGATGGTGTAACCGATTTTGGCTCTTGGGGTGTCTATTTATAGTGCGGCAAGTGCTAGGGTTACATCCATGCAAGCCCTAATGCACCATGACTCTTCATCTTACTTAGGCTTCATGGGTTAACCTCCATGGACTATCCATGTTGGTTTAGCCCA